AATACATTTTTTCGGCTCCCCGACGTAAAGCGCATGCGCGACTCGACCACGGCATAAATGTCAGGCTTTCTGTAGTGAAATCGCAACAGAAACCCCGTACTTTCGACCAGCGTAGTAAGAAAAAATGTTTATAGTACTGATATAAAGAGGTTGTCTAGTTTTTGCAACTATTTTACCTTTAATAGATTATTGCTCTATAGTATTAACCGATGCCACATATGATAATAATCGTAAGTTGCAAACTGCTATGAATTCTGCAATCCGTTTTATTTATAATTTAAAACGCGATGAACATATTTCACCGCATAGACGAAACCTAGGTTGGCTGTCAATTAAAAGTCGTCGCATCTATTATCTTTCTTGTTTCTTCTATAAATTACTAGATGTTAATAAACCCTGTTACCTACGAGAATTGTTTGTTGATATTACTGGAGTAAGGCGTGCTGATCGTTTAGCAGCGAAGAGAAATAATGTGAAATTCACAATGCCGAAATTTTTAACAACTTCTTTTGAATATTCATTTGTAGTTTCATCAATTCGATTATGGGAAGAGTTACCATCAGAAATTGTATATGCAAGCAGTATTGAAATTTTCAAAAATAAATTGTACGATTACTTATTTAATCTAGATGTATGAGCTTTACCTTTGAATTCTCTGATCCATTTCTTAAATCTTAGATTCATGTCTCTGAATATACTCTGTACTAAGTGACTATAATGTTTACAATGTTAGGATTACTAGGTATTAACCTGTGCAATTATAAATTATTGTAAATTTTTATACCTGACCTAGTCATTATTGCTAATCACTCATTGCTGACCGATATCAAAAATTTATTCATATGTATTATACTTATATCATACTTACTTAATAATATACATTCAGTTAACTCAAATTCTTAATTATTTAGTAAACTTTTATACCAAACACCTAACTTAAGTTAGATTAAGAACATTACTGTATCATTTAATTTGTAATTCAACTTTGTCATTTGGCAATTTGCCTTGGCATAAATTAATAAATCTAAATCAAAATATTTATAATATTCACTAGCTGTTACCCGCCCGCTCCGCTGGGCGTTTATAAAAGTGTATTTGTAGATTTAAACTTGAAATTTAATTCGAGTATTGTATTGAGTTACAGAGATTCCAAATTTCATCGAATTTGCATTTACCTTCTATCCATGTGATCATTCGAGCTAAAATTAATTGTAACTTTCAATGTGCATTTAATATAAAATTCCCGTGGCTTTCTTCAAAAAATGAATAATAATTGACAAGAAAAAAAAAATTTGAAATGAGCATTGAAAGTTTCAGTTAAAGTTATTGTAGGTCTCATAAGTGAAGTTGAAATCTGCCTAGCTCAAAGTGTAGCGAAGTTTGCTGTTAATTAAAATTTCCTCCGTAATAAGAACAATTTATCGGTTAGTGATCAGCAAAAATAAAGAAAAATATTTAAATTGGTTGACCTTGGAGGCCATCCCTGTGATTTCCTGTTTCTCATGAGATTCTATCAAATTTTATATCTGTAGGAACAATATGAATTTTTTGACAATCATCACTCCCGCATTCCTATGTAGGGGAGAAATTTCGTAATATCCTATTCGATATAATTTCTACATTATAAACAAAAGGTTCCAACAAAAGTTCGAGGCCATAGAAACTATTGTTTAAAAATAAGAGGTTTTCATTGTTAACGCACTCGCAATCCCTTTTGGATTGGAATTCGAGAAAATCCATTCTTAGCTTAACGTGACATCATACTCAAAGATTCCCACCAAATTTGGAGTTTGTAGAAGTTATAATTTGTAAATTAAAATTGTAGATTTTAAAACCCAGCCCCGCAATTCCTATCAGAAGTAGAATTTGTTAAAATCCATTTTGAGATGATCTCTTCATTAGAAATGAAAGATTCCTACCAAATTTATAGTTTTTAGAAGCTATATTTTGGAAATTAAGATTTTTTATTATCAACACTCACTCCCGCGATCCTCATTGGAGGTGATTCGTTGTAAAATCCGCTCTTAGATCATTTCTCTATCACATATAGAAGACTCCTACTCATTTTAGAGCATGTGGGAGCTATATTTTGAAAACCAAAATTTTTATTTGTTAACACCCACTCCTCAATCCATATTTGAAGTAAGTTGTCATAAAATCCGATCTTAGATCATTTCTATCACACATATAGCAGATTCTTACCAAATTTGGAACCTATAAGAGCTATAGCTTGGAAATTGAAAATTTTCATTGTTAACACCCACCCCCGCAATTCATATTTAGCGTAGGTTGTCATTAAATCCGCTCTTAAATCAATTCTACCTCACATGTAGCAGATTCTTACCAAGTTTGAAGTTTATGGGAGCTATAGCTTCGAAATTAAAAAGTTTTATTGTTAACACCCACCCTCGCAATCCCCTGTCGGGTGAGCTATCGTAAAATTCGTTTATAAATGATTTACACACCACTTACAGAAAATTCCTACCAAATTTGGAGTCTGTAGGAGCTATAGTTGGAAAATTGAAAATTTTCATTGTTGATACCCACCCCCCACAACCCCCTGTGGGGTGATCTATCGTAAAATTCATTCATATACTATTTCTACATCTCTGACAGAAGATTCCTACCAAATTTGGAGTCGATAGGAGCTATAGTTTAAAAACAGGAATTTTTCATTGTTAATGCCCCCGCAAATCCCTTTGGGGAGGAATTTCTTAAAAACCGTTCTTAGCTGACCTCTACATGGCAAAAGTAATATTCGAACCAAATTTCAAGTTTCTAGGTCTGATGATTTCCGAGATACCGTGATGAGTGAATATATAGATAGGAATCTCTTATAATAATATAGATAGATAGATAATATCCATATTTGTCTCACTTCGTGAATACAATTGCATTTGATTTTTAGTTTAGGTGTTCATAGATTATATTTTATATTATATCAAGTTGTGCTATATCTTGTAAGTCATAGGAATCAAGTATTACGCATAGCAAAAAATTTTGCGTCATTGCGTTAAAAAATTTTTTTGTTAAATATTTAACACAAATTTTTTTGACATAATAACGTAAAAATTTTTACTGTGTATAGTTAACTATTATTTATTATTACATATATCGCCATTTTTGCAAATCTCTGTAAGATTATATTTAGTTACCCTATTATTGGCATTATGCTGTTGGTGTTGGGTCTATTTAAAGGAAATAAATAAATAACTATTGTATAATCTTCTTCTAAAAAGTTGATGACCGGATGTCGTATCGTTTTACGCTATACTTCTGTGACTATTTTATTCAATTGTTGATTGATCGACAATAAAGACGGAATATTGAATGAATGTAGACGAGCGAAGCGAGCATGATATATCTAGTAGTTCTTAAAATTTGGATGGTAGATCTAATAACATTCAATATCGATTGATCATATGGTAAAAGCAACCATCTACATGAAAAAGGTTACAATCGTATTATTTATCATTATTTCAGTTAGTAACATGATATATATTTTTTCTAAACATCGTATGAGCATTATGAAGCGTGCACTTGTTAGATTTCGAAAACTTTTACTATTTTTTTCCGATTTTTTAATATATGTAAATTTTTTGCATTACTCTTTTATATTTATTCAATATGGGGCTATTTTAATTTGAGAAACAATACATCGGTATAAAAATTCCCACTGTTTTTATTACGTGCTTCAGTTCAAGTACTTAAGAAGATTACGAATCCAACATTACATCCGACAGCTCGCACATTTATAAGCCTGTATTAGGGGAAGGTGACCTACAACGGGTAAGCTTACGTTGAAGACTCAAAAATTTTAACTTTTGCTCGACTACAATAAAAAATTTAATATTACTCGATAAGAGAGTTACTGAACTTTAACAAAAACCACGAAACCGTGTCATTTTGTACCGAACATTTATTTGTTATAGAAAAACAAAGAGTCTTCGAAAATCTGCTTTGCCTCTACCCCCGAGCCTAAAGCGAGTAAGCACTATGAACAAAACAAATTTTTTTCAAAACTAATGTTAAGACCCTAGTGATGTATTTAACTAACAAAAAAATAACTCTTGTAATACATTCAAATAATAATCTTAAGACTCATTTGACCAGTCTTTAGCGAATAAGTATTTTCTTTGCAATATGCATCATAGTCTCATTTCAGTACTCATATTCGATTTGACTCTTATATTTATTCATTATTAAAAAATTTATACCAACAAATAAGTATTCAACTGCATCATATCAAAACGGATCCATACCCGCTTTTCCCAAGAGCACCAATTTTAGTTGAAAAATTATAAACTCAAAAACATAAAAAATTAAGCCGGTCATTTTAACTTGTTTTAGAATCAAATAGAAACAAAATAAAATGATATTGCACTAAAAAAAAAAATAATAATAAATTGATTCAAGAGATAAATTTTTAAATCATGAAAATCATTTTGATGAATTTTATTATTCTTAATCAAGACAAAAAATTCTTGAATAACGTTAAATTTACGTAAGTCAAGTGAATAAAAAAAACTCTTCAAAATGATTTTCTTGGTTATTTTTTTTTCAATGTACTTACAATATGATGTCATACATGTTTTCATCTAATCAGAGAAAATATTCTTTTTGACAGTTTTCAAAATTCATGAATATTCTTATATTTTACGTTTTAACGTGATATTGTAGCTCCAACACCTGATCAAAACTCACTAAAACTAAGGAGTGTCAGGTAATTTAGCATACACTCAGGTACACAACAAAAAGAAAACTCGAAAAATTACAGTATAAAATGTAAAATCGGTCCCATCGAAATCAAAACTAGAAAAATTACAGTTTGAAATAACATTTTTCTAAATTCAATTTTTTAATTTAATATTCAGAGCTTTCAATGTAAATATTACATTCTACACGGAAAGAAAAATATGGGAACTATTCCCATAATTTTATGGGAACAGTTCCCAGGTAATTATAGCAACTGTTCCCATGAATTATGGGAACTGTTACCATGAATTATGGGAACTGTTCCCATAATTATAGGAAATTTTCCCAGAATTATGGGAAAATTTCCCATAATGATGGGAATGGTTCCCATAATGGTATAGGAATGGTTTCTATAATTATAGGAATGGTTCCTATAATTATCCTATTTTATCCAAGAGTATGTTACTCCAATGATTAACAATCTTTCAATAAACAGTATTTTGCGATTATTTCAATAAACAGTATTTTGTTATTATTTCAATAAACAGTATTTAAATAATAGGAACTTAAAAAAAATTTAATTTCACATAAATTATTAGTTTTGTCAAGTTCATAAATTCTTAGGCGGGCCCTCCAGCAATATATAGTTCCATATACTAAACAAAAATAATTCCATCAACATTTGAACTTTTAATTCTGATTCTACCTCTATCATTTTTTTAATTTTGAAGGAATTATAAATTCTAAAGCAACGAATTACACAGCTCTACAAAAAAAAAATTTTTTTGTGTTGCCTTGGATATTTTTGCAAACTTTTATGTTTTCGAGTACCTAAATTACGAATATATTTATGAAAATACTGAATGTGCTCTTTTTTTTATGATTTTTACGTATCTTATATTTTGAACAATTATCAGCTTGTTAGTACTAAAATTTGTTTTC